GGTTGGTCATTATGGCAACACTAATTACGAATATAGTGAGGATACCACGGATATTCTAGTTTGGCAACTAGCAACCAGTAGTATCTTCTATAATCGTTCTTTCCCAGTCGAATAGAAACCAGAAGTCAGACGAGGAGAGGTAGGAAAGATATATTTGATACGTTACCAATATATCGAGGAACCGTTACTATAAGCTGGCTAATGAACGTAGGAGCTGTGTCCCACGCCGTGTTGAAACGTGATCTGGTGCGGATGCATGACTGAAAGCCTTCAGCTAAACAAGTCCACTTAGACAACGTGGTCAGCATCCAATGTCGAACACTTAACGAGCTATTGATTTTGGGGAATTATTTACAGCTACAGATCACTCCCCCCTTAGTGAGGTAGTGATGCCCCTAAGACGTGACCAGCCAGAAGTTTAAACCCAACGAGTTTGTCGTTGGTAAACACTCTTCTGATAGCTTGCTTCGTTTAGCAGCGTCTGGTCGTCTTTCCTTAAACTATGGGACCAAAATGTACAACATAGCAATAAAGAAATATAGTACAATGAAAATTTCGGTTCCATGCGAAACTTCGTCGTTCTTTTCCAGCCGTCCTGGAAAAGAGGAAAAATAAAACGTGTGAGTGCATGTCGAAAATGCACTCGTACTTGCATAAGGACACAAGATGAGCGGAAAAAAATAAACTAATACACTTACAAACAGCGTAAGAGCGATCGGAGAAAATTGGTGTTTTCTTTTGATTTTTTTTATATATAAAAATATATATATATACGCTCAAAAAAATGTTTTTTTTTAAATAAATGAAAATTATCATATTAAAACTTTTTTTATAATAAACTATGAAAGGGTAATTAAAGATAAAGCTTGTGTCCTACGTGCAATATTCGTTAAGATGTTCTGGAAATCTTACTCGTCTTCCAGAACGCGTTGTTTTAGATTTATCTATCGACGTTGACGAAGTATCAAGTTGTGTGTCGGTTGTCGTGTAGGGTACTACGAGTGTAGTGGCTGTGTCGTTTGCTTGTACCGAAGGAATATCGACGTAGCTAGGGTTTCCTACTAAGTACGTTGCTTTGAGTCGATCGATACTGATGCTATCTTTCGTACCGTTCTTATCGACTACATAGTACTTAGGTTCGCGTTGAAGAACTTTTTGTTGTGTCTGATCACCTTAGATTTCTGACAGCTTACACAGGACCGTGCCCACTCCCTCACGTCTTTATTCATGCCAGGCCAACAAAAGCGTTCGGCTATAAGTTTGACTGTTGCACGAGCACCTGGATGAGAAAGATTGTGCAACGTATTGAAGACGTTGCGGCGATAATGTTTTGGTACAATTGGACGATCCCTACCTGTAGATGTGTCACAGAGTAAGGTTTCCTTACCTGTCCCCATCTGCTTAATACTTAGTTTTAGAGTTGTCGAGGACAACTCATGTTGAAGATCAATGTCTTCTTTTTGAAGCTGAGCGAGTTTAAGAAGGTCGATTCCTTGGAAACTGTTCAAGGAACTTATTTGAGACAAGGCGTCTGCGACTACATTGTTTGCTCCAGATATGTGTTGTATGTCTGAAGTAAACTGCGAAATGTAGTCGAGTTGTCGAGACTCTCGCGGTGAGTACTTGTCTGAATATGAACTTAAGGAGAAGGTAAGAGGTTTGTGATCGATAAAAAGCGTGAATTCTCTTCCTTCGATGGAATGTTGGAAATGCCGTACAGCACAATACATAGCTAGGAGTTCCCTACCGAAAGTGCTGTACCTAGATTCCGCGTCTAGCAACCGTCTCGAGAAAAATCCTAAAGGTTGCCACGAGTTGTTAACCCATTGTTGTAAGATTGCTCCGATTTCTGAGTCGGATGCGTCTACGGCGATACTAATGGGCGCTTGAGTGTCCTGATGAGCAAGCAAGGTTGCTTTAGCGATGTGTTCCTTAACTGTGGAAAATGCTTTACGGGCTATGTCGTCTAAACTAATTGATTTCGCATTTCCACGAAGCTGATCGGTCAACGGTTTCATAAGGGATGCGCATTTAGGTATGAACCGTCTATAGAAACTTACAAGTCCGTTGAAAGTTCGCAACTGCTTGATCGTGGTCGGTTCTGGGTAATCCAGAATGGCCGCCACTTTGCTCCTAAGGGGTCGGATGCCTTGAGCATCAATGGTGTGTCCTAGGAAGTCTGAGGAGTTTGTTCCGATTTGGCATTTCTGTATGTTGACAGTAATGCCATGCTTTTGGAGTCGATCGAAAACAATGTCCGGATGCTTGAGATGCGATTCTCTGTCCGGACTTGCTATTAGACAGTCATCAACATACGCATGTACGAAGTTGAGACCTCGAAAGACGTCGTCTATAAACCTTTGGAAGGTTTGAACAGCGTTTCTTAAACCAAAATGCATTCGTAGAAATTCATAAAGACCGAAGGGAGTGATGATGGCGGTTTTAGGAATGTCGTCAGGTGCCATCGGGATTTGGTTATAAGCCTTAACCAAGTCGATTTTTGAAAATACAGTTGTACCTGTCAAATTGTATCTGTCAAATCGTGAATATGAGGCAGTGGGTAACGATCGGGAATGGTTTTAGCATTCAGACGCCGATAATCACCAGTTGGCCGCCAATCATTGCTGTCCTTTTTAGGGACCATGTGCAATGGGGATGCCCATGGACTATGCGATGATCGAATTATCCCTAGGTCCATCATATGGTCGAATTCGTTTTTGGCTAACCTAAGTTTTTCGGGAGCGAGTCGACGGGCTTTCGAGAATACAGGTGGTCCTGTAGTCGAGATGTGATGCGTAACATTGTTGGTTACATAAGGCAATTTCGATTACGATTGGTATATCCCGGAGTATTTGTCGAGTACTGATTGGTACAAGGGGTCTATAGTGTGCTTAATCGTGACTGGGGATAACCTGCAACCAGAACAAGGAGTTACGCTAACAGATAACTTAGTGTTTCCGTCTATTAACCTTCGTGAGCGTGTGTCGATGAGTAGATTGTGGTGTTGTAACAGATCTATACCAATGATTGGCATAGAGACATCTGTAACTACGAAAATCCAGTGTATGGGTTTGCGTAAACCCACGTTAAGGTAGACGTACCGTTTACCGTAAGTAGCGATCGGCTTTTCGTTAGCCGCCTGTAAACTTAAAACAGACTCGCGAAGTCTGTCGTAGGAATTCGCTGGAAGAACGCTAACTTCTGCGCCAGTGTCGACGAGGTAGCGAACTTTCTTAGTCACATCCGTGACATATAAGAGGCGGCTGTGTTCGCCGGCTACGGTTGCCGTTAACGCCTACCGGCTCGGAAGTTTCCCGAACTGTTTTTCGTGTCACTCGATTTTGGGGTCGGATAATTGCAGGGCTTCCTGCAATTTCTAGAGGATTTACCGTACTGGTTGTGATACCAGCACCAGTCGGGGTTGTCTGTCTCTCGTAGTCGAGAGCCAGATCGCTTACGTGAAACGCTTCTACGCGGGTTTTTTGACCGACTACGGTCATTACGAACTCTAAGATATTATGTAAGCGTGTGACATAGTTCGGTTATGTCAGACGGGGTCGATTGAGGTTTTTTGATGGAGAAAACCTCGGCCTTAGAAAATTTGGTGATTTCCAAGATTCGATCGGCAGATGCAGCTAGTTCATCTATGGCATTGTTTTGAAATGAAACAAGCACTGCCTGCACCTGTTGAGGGAGTTTAGACAAGAAAAGTTGTCTAAATAGGCCATCATCAAAAGTTCGTTGGCCGATGACTTCTCTCATTCTAAGCAACATGTCCGTCGCAGAACCATGTTGCAAGTCGATATTGTTAAGGAGTTGGTCTAACCGTTGTCGATCAGTTAGGTCTCCTCGTTTTAAAATTGATAGCTTAAGCGTTTCGTAAGGTTCGGAAACATCACTAGTAAACATACTAGGTGTTACGTACCTGTTAAACTAGCGCGGTAACGCCTTAACTACCGCGAGGAAACGTGTGTGCGAGTCCGTGATTCCGTGCATGCAAAAATCGGCTTCTGCATAGCAGAACCAGGACTCGATATTGTCGGGCCAAAATGGCGTTAACTGAATCGAAATAGGGGGAATAGACTTAAACTTAAGAACCTTAGGAGAGTGTTCCGTCATAGTAATATAGATAACGAAAAGTGTCTAATTAAAATATATCCGAGAAAAAAATTCGCGAAAAAAAGTATATCACAATATATAAAATTCAAATGAAGAATGACAATGAATCATAATATTCCAAAATGGAACAGACTCACAGTATATTGGCTTGGTGTACCAGATCACGTCGGTCTCACCACTGAGGATACCACGGATATTCTAGTTTGGCAACTAGCAACCAGTAGTATCTTCTACAATCGTTCTTTCCCAGTCGAATAGAAACCAGAAGTCAGACGAGGAGAGGTAGGAAAGATATATTTGATACGTTACCAATATATCGAGGAACCTTTACTATAAGCTGGCCAATGAACGTAGGAGCTGTGAGCTATTGATTTTGGGGAATTATTTATAGCTACAATAGACCATAGTTCTACAGTCTACTCTTTCATGCAACCTATTCGATATTCAGTGACCTGACCTCTGGATGATTTGTCTAGAGCCCAGTTATATTTTGTTGGTACTACTAAATTATGAACAGGGTTGGGGTCTTTATATATGCTTGAATCATCTGGCATTGCAGTACACACTAAAAATGCCTGAAACCTAAAATGGAAAGTATGCAGACGGCATGTTAGGAGTCTTGGAAGTAACAGCATAGTGAGCTAAAACAAGATGTTAGTGTTGGAGCACGTATTTTCTGAACCATATTCAATATGACAAATCGATCTACACATGTTAATTTGAACCACATTTCGAAGTCACCAAAGAAAATCGAACTAAGAGAATGGCGTTTTGAAAGCTACAAATAATGACGAGAATCGTTTACAATTTTAGGTTTCGAGAAAACAATATAATAATTACCAATCCAGTTTCCTATAATGACGATAATTTCTTATGACGATGCACAGAGATCTGTAAGGTTGACCCCGCTGGATTCAAAGCTTGGACTTGTTGTTAAATTTTGTGTTGAGTGTACTTATGTCGGACAGAGACACTGCATCATTGCTCAAATTCACTGAGAATGTGCTTCAAGATTATCGCAGTCTTATTTCAGAAACAAAGCGGCGATTTGTTCCTATTAAAGAAGTAGTCATATTCAAACTTTTGACATTTTTTAGGCAACTGAATCACAAATTCCTAAATTAAGAGCTATCATAAACAGTGATACTGAACTCCGAGAAGGTAGGTGATCGGTTTATTTGTTTAAGCATAGTATAGCCTTACAGGGATCGTGCAGTTCTCTAATCTCCCCATTTTTAAGTGGTTGCCTTTCAAAAAACCAGAAAATAATAGTATTGTGTTTAACAGCACTTCAGCGTTTCATCAATCAGAAGTGTTTGTCAGAGGTAAATTATTTGTTGTCTTTAACTCGTTCAGGATGCTTCTGAAGCTGTCGTTAATACACTTTGGCAGCTTGCAGAGTCGAATGTAGAGGAATTACGCATACTCCAGACGACCATATTGCTTCTTACAGGCTCATCCTTAATACGTGGACCTCAACTTGCAAAAGTAAATCCTGCACTTTAAACCTTGGTATTATGTATTAGTTTTCGAAATATGTTTATGTGGACGCAATCAACTAGGTTTTGTTATCCCATTTAGATGTGTTAGTGGTTGTGTAAATTATCAATGGAGTTCAAGTTAACATGTTTACCTGTTTTTAACAGTCTCGTATTTGTGTTCTTATGGTTTTCTGACTTACTATGCAACCAAATGAAAATCTTTACATAGTTAATGTGTTAATGATTCGAAGACACTGCTTTTGTTACTCTTGCCATTAATAACAATAATTACGAAGCTGATACAATTGTAGTTCATGACAATTAAAAGTTGTTTATTTTTTGTCTCCCTCTGATAAGCACAGATGAATGTCAATAGATGAATCCTTTATAGTACCGTGTCGATATCTGAAGTTTTATTAGTTTTGAGCTTCCCCACTCACCATTATCACTGATCTATTCGTTTGTCTAGACAACAGAAATATATCCTAATCAAAAAGTGGTATCGGTTCGCGATATTAGTGGCTACATATTGATAGATCTGTTGTTCATCTAAGTGAGACATGAGTGTAGAAATCACTGGTTTCAGATTCTAAGTGACCAGCGATCAGATAGAACCATCTAGTTCTCCTTGTGTTGTGAATTATAATTTTCTTATGGCGTTACTATGTATTTTCATCTAGTTATTGTTCTCACCATTTCATCCTCAAGGTATCTTGACATAATTTGGGTCTACAGAATTCACTTTGATTGAGTAAGTTAGGATAGCATCAAGTAAGACGTTCTCCTCGTACGCACTAGCCACAAAATCAGTTTGTTAATTCTTACTAAATATTTTCCTTTAATCTTGCCAATTTCAATTCACTGAGTTATAAGAAAGGTCTGGTGTGTGTGATCAAATTTAAATAAGTAAGCGCAGTTTGAATTCCCGAACATGCTTTGAAAATAAGTCCCTAAACCTTTAATGTGTTATTTCTATGTTGGATTCTAAAACAATCTCTTTTATTTTTCTCTTAGGCCTTCACCATATGTTTGAAGCTTCATCTTTCAAAGTCACCGGCCACTGTAAACACAGCAGCAGCAGCTGTTCGCCAATGTGCGAGTGCTATTTTTGATCGTGTGTTCAAGGAAGAGCTGATCATACAACCTACGGATTCAAGTAAACAAAAAGCTGCATGTAAGTTCAATCTTCTCCAATTAACCACGAAATCATGTTTTCGGGGCCATAGTTATTAGTATTACAAAACCGTAACTCAAAAAAATATCAGTCGATTTGCTACATTCTATCAGATATTTTCTCTAACTTGGTCTCGAAATTACATCAGCGTTTACCATTGAAAAAAACTGTTTGTTTAGTTCATTTTTTTATATAGGTATTAGTTTGACTTGCACTTTATTGTTAGTGTTTAATATCGAGCTTTAATAATTTTTTATATTACGTTTTTTAATTTCAAAATTTTAGCTGGAATCGACGACATGCTTCCTGTTAATCCTCTGGACTTAAAGTCCTCTGAAAGGGATGCCTATATGCTTTTTCAGGTGAGCGGTTCCAATCTCGATCGTTTGTAGTTAACGCTTAACACTTTCAAGGTTTTTGTCTGATATATATATCACATTTACTAGTTCATTTAAGCTGTATATCGTTTATTGTTTTACTATGCACGTTCGATATACTTCTGTGGATGGTATTCTGGGATGATATTGACCATATAGTATCATTACCAAGTTCTGATTTGATAATTTTGAATACATTGAGCATTGGGTAGATTGTTATGAATAAATAATATATTTGTAATATCCTAATGAGTAGAAAAATTAGATTATCTGACGTTTCGTGACTCAGTGTAAGCCACTTCTTCAGAGAATAAATAACCAAATTAACATTAGTCCAAGTTTAAATAGTACAACGGAACAACACGAATATTAGGTGCGATCAATCAAAAAACAGGTCTGACTTATTTAGATATTGAGTATAGTTTACTTCCTGTCCTTTACATGTACAAATTATCCGTAGATAATTTTGTGTTAAATTCAGAATTCGGTGAACTTGTTTTTTGAAAATCTTTGGTAATTGTGGCAGTAACTAAACAGGGAAAACTCAAAAGTTTGGATCTCAGTAGCACTCAGCTTAAAATCAATTGTTTATTGGTACTTATTTGTGAGTTGTACCGTCAGTTGTTATTAAACTTTATACTAATAAGAATGAAAGATGAGCTTTGTATTTTGGTTACAAATTTTACAATATAGAATATTGAAATATGGTATTCTTTCTAAACCTGGTGAATACACCACACCCCTAAGTTGTTGAAATTTGACTGACACTGGAAATTTAGATAGATGAACTTAGTTAGGATCTAATGGTTGTTTCATATAAACAAACCTTACTTGCTAATGTACAAAAGAGATATGTTTTCATGTAATTTTTTTTACCTTGTAATATATATTGGTAATTGATATGAGTTCACTGAGTATTCACTTATTTCTGTACATATTAATTTATTAGTAGTTCCCTCCTGTTCTGTTAATTTTTCTGTAGGATATTTGCTTACTGATAAGTGACGATACGTGTATTTGGTTATATGGCACAATGCAGATTAATAAAGTTCTGGGTCTGGAGCTAGTTGAATCGCTTATCTTTTCCTATCCTAGTTTATTTTGTCAGGTGAGTTGTAATTTGGCTGTATTAGTAACTATGCTTTTAGTTGGCTTCCATCCTAATTGCGAGGTACATTTAAGAATCCAACTCTAATCACAACTTTGTCTGACTTCGACCTGCAAATGAGACTAATAATATTTTCAACTCTTATGAACAATGCACACATGCATAGAAAAATCATGTTCCCGCAGGTCAGCCCTGGTACGGGCGAGGGTGGGGAGAGTCATTTCTCTCGAAATGCTCTCACATGGCCACGTGCATACAACCACTACCAAGAAATTCCTACTCACTGCCTTCTCGCGACGGTGTTGTTTACAGAATTGAGCGGATGAAAAGCTAATGTCTGGCGCTTTAACTGGGTTGGTGGACACGGAGGGTTCACGTAGGGAAGTTGGAAAATCCTGATTCCAAATCAATGGTGCATATGGGCTCCAGTATCCTCAAAAAACAAATAGTGTATGAACCTACTGTTGGTCACCGGCTACCATAGGACTTCATCTCCTAACATTGCCCCACTGCCTTGTGGACCAGACTTTTTAGGTCAAAGGTTCCGGGTGTGACCCCCTAAGAAAACCACCTGCTTCGGTTTGGGCACCCGGACAGTATCCCAGTCCTCACACAAACCGAGTGATTTATGTGGCGCATATCTGTTTGGTGCCCCTTTGTACCAATGTTTATGTGTTTAAATAAATAAATAAGCCCGATAATATGCACAGTAATAGTATTTATGAAAATAGAAGTCAACCATGAGTATTATTTTTATAGATATAAAATTCGTTCATAATGTGAGTTTGAAGAAAAATGTATGGCATATCTGTTATAACTTCTCTTGTTACTACCCAGTTACTCTTACTGCTTAGTAATCTTGGACACTACTTCACTCGACAAGTCCCCTAACCAGGACACGGCTGAACAGGGACGTAATTATATTCCAAGTAAACACAGTTGGGTGAAAGTAGGAAATACAAGCAGGAAAACTTTAGTATTCTAGATTCTCCCCCAAGTATCCGCTAGCACTGATTGGTTAATGAGCAGCCAGTCAGCATGCTCCAACATATTCTCGCACGGAACATGCTTTAATCCAATCTGTATCCTGTTAACAATATCAATTTATGATGAAGTGATGAGATTTAGATTATTGATGACTGATTATCTTCATGAAAACTATGTTCTCCATTGGAACTCTAAGTTGCTGTACGAGTGTTTCTTCAGCAACTCATTGTGAATTATTAACATACTGTAGCCGGATGAGTAATGGATTTTTTTAAAATATTCTTCCTAAGTGCATCAGGTTTCACATCACTATTACACAAATTCTGTCCGGTTGACTGGCTTCAACTGTACTACATTTCAGCTTCTTTGTCCTTAAACTAGTTCAATTGATGTATTATTTGTTGTGCACCCTTTTTGAGTATGAAGATGAGGGCTAAGAGTAACAGAAGTTTGTTGAAACTTGGTTCATAGTATAGTAATTTCATCAATAGGCGATTATTTTACTACTAGATGTTAAAATATATGTAGCATTTACTGGTCGTAAACTATGAAGGTGCACTGAAGTTAGGAAAAAATAATTGTTTATTACGTTATGGTTTCTAGCGTTTGTTTGATCGTTATCAGTTGCCTTCTACATACTTGTATATGGTATTTAACTAATGAAACCTGTTCTTTTTACATTCCAACACAGCATCCTGCTTTTGCGTATTTACTGAAAACGAATTTATGCCCGCTGGTGATAAAATTATTTTCTCCAAGTTTAAAATTACACTTAACTCCGTTGGCTACATCTGGTGGTGGTGGTGGGATAACAGATGTTGCCTCAGCTGCGTTTGCTGCTGCAACGGCTGCACTAACTAGTGTCAGTGGAGTAGCATCGTCGTTGTCATCATTGTCATCACCGTCTGGTGTTTCAAATGACATGATGAATAGTGATAAACCGAATTTCGCACTGTTTGTTCGTTTGAAACGTTTGGTGATTGTCATCGTCAATCATTACTTTCATCTTTTGGTAAGTTAGGTTAAACTCAACTGTTCAACGAAATGAATATATATATGATTCAATAACTTCAGTTACAAACATGGGTGTATGAATCAATATATAAGTGAGTGTATTTCCGACTAGAGTCGTCGTTGTTGTTCGTGTTTCTGGTTGCTTGTGGAATATATTTCCCTCTTCTGAACTTGGACTTCTCTCTCTAGTTAGCGGGTCTGGGACGTATCGGAATAGTTAACTGAATTAGTCATCGTGTCACTGAGTCTTCGTTCCGTTGTTGGTTGTTAGTTGCTTTGTAAATTTTTGGGAGTTGGATAACAACTTTTTGACGTAGAAAGTGAAGTGTATACCTAACGGAGAAACTCGATTGTTTTGGTCTGGGTTATGTTAGTCAACACAGAGTCTGAAAGATAACCATGATTAGTGGTTGGAGACGTTGGTGGACATAGTTTAGAATTATTCACAATGGCTCAGATGCATTAACTATTCATCCTCCATTAGATCATGTATTTAAGCATTCCTTCATACGTAACTTTCTGATATATCTTTTTTAATCGTATTCTCAATATTGAGTCGTTCTCATTATCATTACTACTACATTATTTCGATCTCTTTCGCTGTTAATCTTGCTATTTCCATCTCTTCTTCCCAATATCGTATCCCAGCTTGGTCTAACACATATCTATGACAAGCTTTCCGTTGGTGCTTGATTGACTTGGGATTCCCCCTTATGCAAAGTGGAATTGTATACTCCTTCCTAGTCTACAGTTATTTACCCACTAAACCTATTTTTTACTATAGAAAGATCAGTTATAAGTTAAGTTAGTCTAAGTAATGGTTTCTAACGTTATAAAAAGAATAAGAGTTAAATCATCCTCACAAATACAATTGATTGTGATTCATGCAAACTGTTACATGGGGTCATTAATTTCTGTCATTCAGATTATCGTTATTCAAACAAACAACCATTTATATCTTGGATTACTTTTATATTTTGATCTGTCCGTCCTCTTGAGGATGATTTGATCCACATAATATGTTTGTCATATTCACTACTTCGATTTTTATATTTCACAATTTTGTGTTGATTTTTTCGATCGTTGATAATGTGTTCACAGATGCTCTAATATGACATTTCCAAAACTTACTTCCAAAGGCGTTGTAAATAAACAATTGCATTTTTACAATAGTCATTAGCCTAGTTTAGTCTCATTTGATTTCTTAAGTGGATGCTGTGTTCAAGATTTAATTTTCATATTTTTTGGTTCCCAAATAAATAGATTGCTAGTTGTACATGTTCATTTGAAGTTAGGAGTATTCGTCTGTATAGTCAAGTAGTATCACGTACTCTCCAATCTTTTTCCAAACTAATTATACTTCAACTATCATTGGAAGTTATTTTATGCAACGGAAAAACTACCATCGTACTTTCTTTCTACCGTATTTTAATTAGTATTTCAATTTTTTCTGTTTGGATAGTCAAATTTTTAACATTAAAAAAAACTGCTTTTTGTTCTGTTTATACTTTTTTTTAAAAAATATTCAGAATACAGAATGTGAAATCTATCTCTCGTTGCTTATACGATTTTTGGATGTGAATAAGTTATTATGGCAACGTGCATTGGCATTAGAGGTTCTATTTAAAATTGTGGAACAACCTGAATTAGTTAAGTAAGATTCAAACTACTTAATTATACTTTGATATGCCTATTTTTTAGAGTATAATTTTAAACGGAATCATCATCTTATTTCATAGATTTTTAAGGTGATGAGGTAGACATTAAATTAAAAACAAAAATATATTTTTGATTTATCAATCAGGAAATCGCTTTTTTAGAAGATTAAGATTTTAGAATATTACTACCATAACCAAAGTGATTATGAACGAGGGAGTATTTATTTAAGGAGTGTATTGTTCATCGGTAAACCGAAAAGTTACTGAAACTACTTCTTGTAAGTGGCCATTAAAAATAGGGTTATTTATCTATTTATTTAAACGCATGAACATTTGTACAAAGAGGCACCAAAATATATATGCACCACACAATTAATTGGGTTGTGCGTGATTCGGAATACTCCCCGAGCGCCCAGACTGAAGCAGATGGTTTTTATAGGGGACCACACTCTGAGGCGTCTACCTAAAAGTCTAATCCACAAGGCAATCAAGCAACGTTAGAAGATGCAATCGTAGGGAAGCTGGTGACCAATAATAGATTCATACACCATTCGTCCCCTCAGAACCCTCGATCCCATGTTCATCATTGTTTAGGGACCAGGGTTTTCCACCCCCTCGAGGTGGATCCTCAGCACCCACTCGACCGGTTTAAGTACCGGACATTCGCTCTTCGTCCTTTCAATTTCGTAACCAACACCCCTGGCACTAGAAGGCATTTAGTAGGACTTCCCTGAAGTGGCCATAAGAGGGCATTTCGGTGGGGGTGGGGGGACGTAATCTCTTCACTCTTGGCCATATCAGGGGATGTGATTACAAACGTGTAAATAGGATTAATTCAAGTATTATCACTTCACAGCAAGTTATTTGTAGTAAATTGTTTATTTTTACTGCTTAAATTATTATTGTTTGTTATGTATCTTTCGCGCTGTAATAATCTTTAAATAATTGTTTCTCTACCTCCGCACACAGTCAACCTTTTAAATATTTACTGTTAACAATGCCTTTCATATCGTAAGGATAAACTCAATTCGTCTCATCAATTGAATCATTTTTAACTCAAATAAATGATGAACTTTTACATTGTGATTTTACTCAGTAGTTGAGGTCCTCGATTATCAACCTATAGGTGTGACTTGACAGTTCATTGATTTTTTTCCAGTTTGTCTGTAACTCGTCGAAAAATTTGTTTGTGAGTACAAAACTCATTACTATTTCGAATTTCTTCCCTCAAATCTCTGTTTACCACATTTTTTTGAGAGTATGTAAGCTGTGAATTAGATTGACAAGAAAACTCCTGAAGTATGTAAATCGTCAATGACGCTTTTACGTCGGTCTGTAGGGTGTCTTTAGCTTTAAACCAAAGTAGTCTTTGAAATCAAACCATACAGGCTAACTATTTCTTATTCACTTTAACAGTTCTAAAACCAAATCTTTGTAATTATACAATCTTTGATTTACACGTCACTAACCATGCCTGATCTGTACTGTATTTTTGTGATGTAAATAAACATTTCACATAAGACTTATGTGGTTCTGAAACCTTGAGCAATGTAATAACTGAACACCTTTGTATAGAGGTTGTTAATCACCTACTATAACAATTACTCATATTCAGTATTTAAGCACAGTTATCGCCTCTCAATGAATATTAAGTGAACCCATTTATTGAAAATAGTTATTAGTGTACAACTTGTCGATTATTTCACTACATTTATGAATAGTCGAAAAATTCGGTATCATGGATAAATAACCGTTGGCATCATTTCGGGACATTTTATTTTTGTATTTTGTTTTGACAATTTGTTTTACAGTTACAAATCTGACAATCTATACTGATCTGATTAAAATTTATTCTAAGTAGAGAGCATTCAATAAAGACTAGGGTTTATATTTAATTTTCTGCTTTTACGGTCAGTATTTTAAAATAAATATGAACTTAGACGAAACGTTTCGTGTTATATTTTGTCATTTGCACTGACAAATGTACCAACATCATGTATTATGAACTTGGGATCTCGTAGGTACTGAAATTTCATTAGGAATAAGTTTATAAAGATAATATTGATCGAGATGCTAAACATTTCGTTTTAATGTTAAAGGATTTAAGGGTATCAGAAGTAAGTTCCTAGCTTTGGGCTCCGTTCACTTGCACTCGTCGACATGATGTATCTCCAAACACGTTGTAACTGATGCCCCTTGTGTTATAGTCACCATTATTGCAGAGGTGATCACTGAGTCGTAACCAACGTCTAACCTGGTTTTTATTGCTGATTGGATTATTATCCACCAAGTTAAAATGTAGCCGTTTGTCTAAAAGACTCTATAGTGCATTATATTACTACATTGGGTAGAGTATTTGAATCCTACTGATACACCTTTTTGACGAGGGTTAACTAATACGAAACCTAGGTCACTGGCTCTCTATCGCTTACCTTTGTTCACCTAATACCATAATGTAGTGCATGCTATTTTGAATCGTATAAACTAGTAGTTATATAGAAACTTGGTTTGAAGTATTCAACGGACAGTGAAGATTAAATAAGTTGGTATATATAATAATGTATGTGACCAACCAATATTATAGAACTTTCCTTTCATGAATTATTTTCAGTACCCGGATTCCCAGTCTACAGAAGCGTACCTCGAGCTTCCTTTCGTTTACTTGAAAATAAAGTATAGAGACTAAACCTTGTAATTAGACTACAACATGTGATGTTATTTCCAATTTCTATCAGACTCGTTTACGTTACAATATTAGCAAAATATAGTATCATTTATTATTTCGCTTCTCTATTTTGTTGTGTTTTTAGGCATATTTGTATTTCATACGATATGAGGCAGCATGCAACGAAAATTTTTCATGAGCTTTTAAATGCTTTCGGACAGTACATACAAACATCTTTAGCCAACCCATGTCCAGGTGATGAATTATGTAAGTATTTTCCTTTTCAATGTATTTTTCATATCTGAAGTTTATGGCTTTGTTTGTTGCTCAGTATTCATATTTAGTTTGATTTACATTGATTGATGTCATGGTATAATTCAAAATTCCTTTCAGAAACGTGTTTATTTCAGGCTATATCAATAATAAAATACGAGATCTTAAGTGTCTATTCATCGATAGTAAAAAGAATGTTGTTATCATAAGATCCGTTTCACGTTTGAAAGAACTCACTCCTATCCGACAATGTTGACCGGAGTTGTAATAATCGTTTGGATGGAATTTTCAGTTTATTTGTATAAATAAGTAGGGAAGGTCTTTTTGCCATCAGTATTCTCTGTCAGCAATCTTACGGTACCCTTCTAAGTCAGTCAGATGTAATCGTTTCATAGATAAATGAAGATATCATAAGAGTTGGAGTTGTGTGATTGAACTGTAAAAAAATCGGGGTATAAAATAAGCAGTATAAAATAACAGTATTGAAGATTTCAGATTAGGAGATGCATTTATTCGACTGAGGATTTTTAAAAACTGCGTGAAAAATAGATTCATTTATTTCGGTTATCTTGCTAACTGTATGGATTAAATCTAAAGTTCTGTCTAAATCAAACCATTAGATTTAAACCCTCTCAGATAAGTTCCTTGTCTTACTCTATCCATCCATGAGTTTCTTTAAGGAATCCCCATCAGTCGCTCTCATAAGCAACAGTGAACTGACAGAAACATTCACTGAGCTAAGTTGTTACACTTCATACCGTTATAGGTGTAATGTCGCTTACAATAGCTTATTTCGAAGCTTTGACGACTGCTTCCCATTTTAACTGGCTATCAGCTGTAAATTTTCAAAGGAATTTCGATCATGCTAGTGAGTGTTCAAAATGTTTATTTTATTTGTAATAGTGTCTCAATCAGACAGTTTAAGTATCGGTTTTTGTATATGAATGAAGTAATTAGTTGGTTGCAGGCTCCTCGTCTCTAAATCTCCCACAAAGTTTCTTCTATTTCTTGTTTACTTACTTATTAAATGTAAGTAGTCAAAAATGTCGTTTCTAAACACATTGAAGTAGAGTATATCACAGTAGAAATAAAGGTCGTCTAATTAGTGTGTGTTAGTTATTGCATGCCAATGATATCCATTTCATAATATGTAGTTTTTTCTACCTTCCTAGAGATGATTGTTCTCTCTATATAATCAGAAAATATCTAAGGATAAAAGTCTTAGTAGAAGTGTCATTTTTTAACTATGTTGTAAACTAGGTGTCCCTCACAATCATGGAAACTTCCACTCGCTTCAGTTGATCATATTTTCTATTAACATATAACTTACGCCTGTTACCCGTCGTCGAGGAGCATAGGCCGCTCACCAGCATTCTCCATCCAACTCTGTCCTGAGCCTTCCTTTCCAGTTCTTTCCAGTTGCTATTCAGCCTTTTCATATCGGCTTCTATTTCCCGGCGTAGTGAGTTCTTTGGCCTTCCTCTTTTCCGCTTCCCTTCCGGATTCCAAGTTAGGGATTGAGTCGTGATGCACATTGGTGATTTCCTTAATGTATGTCCGATCCACTTCCAACGTCTTTTCCTAATTTCTTCTTCAGCTGGAAGCTGGTTTGTCCTCTTCCATAAAATGCTGTTGCTGATAGTATCCGGCCAATGAATGTTGAGTATTTTGCGTAAACAACTGTTTATAAATACTTGTACCTTCCTGATGATGGTCGTAGTAGTTCTCCACGTTTCAGCTCCGTACAGTAGGACTGTCTTGACGTTCGTATTAAAGATTCTGACCTTGAAATTGGTTGAGAGTTGTTTTGAGTCCCATATGTTCTTCAATTGTAGAAATGCTGCCCTTGTTTTGCCAATCCTCGCCTTTACATCTGCATCCGATCCTCCTTGTTTATCAACGATGCTTCCCAGGTACGTGAACGTTTCCACCTCTTCCAGAGTTTCGCCATCAAGTGTGATTGGGTTGGTGTTCTCCATGTTGTATTTGAGAATCTTGCTTTTTCCTTTGTGAATGTGGAGGCCTATCGATGCGGAGGCTGCTGCTACATTTGCTGTCTTCGTCTGCATTTGTTCGTGTGTATGAGAGAGGAGGGCTAGGTCATCTGCGAAGTCCAAATCATCTTATTGATTCTGAGAAGTCCATTGTATTCCGTATTTCCTTTCAGATGTCGAATTCTTCATAATCCAGTCAATCACTTGAAGGAAGATGAATGGGGAGAGTAGACAGCCTTGTCTGACTCCGGTCCTTACTGGAAATGCATCTGTCAACTGTCCTCCATGCACCACTTTGCACTGTAATCCATCGTATGAGTTTTGGATAATGTTGACAATCTTTTCAGGAACTCCATAGTGTCGAAGAAGTTTCCATAATGTTCTCCTATCCACGCTGTCAAACGCCTTCTCATAGTCGATGAAATTGACGTATAGTGATAAGTTCCACTCAACTGATTGTTCAACGATGATCCGTAGTGTCGCAATCTGGTCTGTGAACGACCGATCCTTACGGAATCCAGCCTGATGATCCCTAAGTTCGGCGTCTACTGCGTCTTTCATCCGATTCAGCAGCACTCTGTTGAAAACGTTTCCTGGTACTGATAACAAACTGATGCCTCTGTAGTTCTCACATAGGCTCAGATCTCCTTTCTTTGGTATCTTGATGAGATATCCTTCTTTCCAGTCCGTTGGCACTTGTTCCTCTTCCCAAAGCTTCTTGAATAGAAGGTGAAGCATGTTTGCAGTTATTTCAATGTCTGACTTCAGTGCTTCTGTTGGTATATTGTCAGGTCCTGCCGCCTTCCCACTTTTGATTTGTCTGATGGCCATTTTGACTTCTTCGATCGTTGGTGGAGTGACATCTATTGGAAGGTCTGTGTGGGCTGCTTCGATGTTCGGTGGATTCAATGGGGCTGGTCTATTCAGCAGTTCCTCGAAGTATTCTGCCCATCTTTTCCTCTGTTCTTGAACCTCAGTGATTGTCTTTCCTTCTTTGTCCTTGACTGGTCTCTCTGGTTTGCTATATCTCCCTGCCAATTTCTTCGTTGTATCATATAGTTGTTTCATATTCCCTCCTCTTGCAGCTTTTTCCGCCGCCGTTGCTAGTTCTCCCATGTATTTCTGCTTGTCGGCTTTAATGCTTTTCTTCACTTCTCTGTTTGCTTCTGCGTAGTCTGCTTGTGCTTTGACTTTCTCTACTCGTGTTCGGCTGTTGTTAATTGCTAGTTTCTTGTTCTTCCTTTCTTGAATTTTGTCCAGGGTTCCCAGAGAGATCCATTTCTTGTGATGATGCTTCTTAGGACCAAGAACCTCCTGACACGTTGAGGTTAGGGCTTCTTTTATCCCTTTCCAGTTGTCCTCCAAAGTAGTTTCTTGTTCTTTCAGCAGATCCTGTAGAGCCTGGAACCTGTTGTTGAGAGTTATCTTGAATTCATGGAGCTTGTCAATATCTCGAAGGAAGGTTGTATTGAACCTTTGTAGTGCTGTTTGTCCAGTTGTCCAGTGTTTCTTTAGCTTCAGTCTCATCTTGGCCACAACCAGGTGGTGATCTGAAGCTATGTCAGCTCCTCTCCGGGTTCTCACATCTTCCATTGATCTTCGGAATTTTTTGTTGATACAAATATGGTCTATGTGGTTTTCTGTGGTGTGGTCCGGTAAGATCCATGTAGCTGTGTGTATGCGCTTGTGTGGGAATATTGTGCCGCCTATAACCAATTTTTTGAATGCACATAGGTTTGCAAGTCTCTCCCCATTTTCGTTTCTCCAATTACATCTTCATATCCTGTGTTGTCCACTCCAACTTTAGCGTTTAGATCTCCCATCAGGATGGTGAGGTTCTTCTTTGAGCACTTCGCTATAATTGATTGCAGCCTCTCATAGAGTTAATCTTTATCATCGTCGTTGTTATCATTGGTTGGTGCATAACATTGGATAACATTCACTGTGATCCCTTCCTTCTTTGTATTGAATGATGCTTTAATTATCCTGGATCTATGAGATTCCCATCTTACAAGTGCATTTCGTGCTTCTCTGGACAGCATTAGAGCAACTCCTTGAGTGTGCAGAGCATTTTCCTCTTCATGACCAGAGTACAGCGACATCTCTCCTTTATCCAGCCTTTTCTACGTAATATTAACTTAAAATTTTGCAGCTATATTTACTGGGACATTGTTCACAGCCATTTTCCTTCCCTTATTTACCCTTTAAAATTAACTATAAACACAAGCAGATAAATTAATAAACTTTGTTATCATTCAATTTAGTACTTATCATCCTCAGACTTTTTTTCCAGTTTCAAACAAATAAAGTTATTAGTTGAATTTAATTGGTAGTATTTTGAGGCCTACTATTATTCATTTACAATTTGTTTTTACGTTTTAATTCACTGTCTTTATCTGTAAATTTTGTCATTTATGACGAAGTTGATTAAAAATTATTAGACTAATTCGTAACATAAATCCTCGTATGATTATTTCCGTTTATTATTTGTTGGGTTTAACCTGTTGATTGAATTTCTTTTAAATAAACAGATTAGGTGGTGGAGAAGATTTGTAGCTCAGGTGGGTGATTTTTATGTTGGTTTGTTCTCTGAGCTGGATGGTTTGGTCGTGCTCGTGGAGAAAATATAGTTGTTCTCGAGTGGAAGCTTGCCTTTTGGCGACCAAATCATCCAGCTCATAGAACAAACCAACATAAAAAACAGATTAGGTACTAAATGTTTCATTTGATAAAGATTTATACGAATGACTTGGATTCCTTCATGTGTCATTCATATGGACAATTGATATTATCATCCCCTATATATTGTTATGTCTATCAGCGCATCGTATTAAGCATCCTATACATAATTATTTTGAATCTTATTTTAATTTTAAAATACTATTTACTTCCGTTTTTAATATTGCAAGCGTAGTTGTGATTCGTATTTCTCAATATCCTCTTAATTAATTACATTTTACTAGCTAAAGATAACGCTAATCAGACCGCGAATCAAACAGTTCATGTTGGAGGTATCAATCAATCCATGTTGTATTATAAAGGGAGTTATTTTCCAATCAATTTACAATCAAAAGGAATGCTGTAAGTGTATATTACTGTCTATAATAATAATAATAATAATAATAATAATAATAAGCAAAGATGGATAATGGCTAGCAGTGGAATCCAGGAGGCGCGTTTCGTCTTATTTGGGACTCGTCCACTGGATGTGCCTGCATCTCAGAGTTGATGTTCACTCTGGGACTCGAACCCAGTTCCGTTCACTCCAAACGCCATCGCGTTATCCACTTAGCTACTGGGTTCGTGTCCAAGAGTGAACATTAACTCTGAGATGCAGGCACATCCAGTGGACGAGTCCCAAATAAGACGAAACGCGCCTCCTGGATTCCACTGCTAGCCACTATCCATCTTTGCTTATAAAGCTTATGACTTCAGGCAATATCGAGGCAGTCCGCACAGGATGCACATATGCCAACAAGAGACTGATCAATTGCAGTCCGAAATAACTATGGGAAAATACAAGTAAGCAGCACCAAGTTAATTTAATAATAATAATTGGTATTAATTTTTCGGCTCATAATTACATTGAATTTAGAATAATAAGACTTATGAACGAATTCTGTACATATGAGCATGTTGTGTTGACGTGCATAAGTTAATAAACTAGGTGCTGTTATATCCCAAAATAGTTTAGAACTACCGTTTTTGACCCTACCGGGGCCGTATCCAGGACATTCAAGTTTCGCAAAAAGCATTTAACCTTTAGACTATTGGATCGGCATTTATGCTTTAAATAATGCGAAGATGTTTTACAAACATCTATATTACTTATATTATTCTTTTACTTGTCTCGGTTGTTGTATTTAAGTTGTATTTTCATTCACTCAGATTCATTGTTTCTTATTTTGATACTCGATTACTCCCTAGTCTTGAGATGCTTGATCGCAATGAACCACCAATTTTACCTGATGGTTATTGTCTTTCATTGGCTTTATTATGTCTACGTAAAACAGTGGATTCATTAAAGGTCATCATCATTGCTAATGTTCCTGAAATCATTAATCATAGTGACGATGACAGTATTAATAAGAAGGATAATACTTCGAAAAAACATGATATTATGTTTTGCGAACAAATTGTATCTAATTCATGGTGCGGCATATTATCCACACTCAGTTTATTATTTGAATCAAGGTAAGTATATATATATATATATATATATATATATATATATATATATATATATATATCGCCTAAAGAATTTCAGTCATCTGGTTATGTTTATACAGTGAATTTTCTTATCCGTTCTATCCTAATCGACCTGTCATACAACTTAATTGTATATCACATGACTCAGTAGTTCAGGAATTTGACTTCCAGATTTTAAATTTCAAATCACCAACAAGAATTATATTACTGATAGTTGCATTTTATAAATAGTCGTGTCATTTTTTACAGAAAAACATCAAAGGTCCTTAGTGAATGCTTATTTATAAATATCGAGATTGTTGTATTTAAGGCCGTCACATTCATATAAGAGATTTAAAAAAGGAATATAAATCAAGGTTTCAATTTAAAATAACCGAATATCTACTTTGTGTAGTGACCATAACTGAATAGTTTTGTGATGATATTTCAAATATGTTAGCCATTATTTCAAATATTGAAAAAAATGTTTGAAATAGTTTCTAGAACTATTATTTTTGAGAAATATTTATGGCAAGTTACAAAAATATATCCCTGCGTTATTAAATTTATTAAAAAGAGTACATGTAAAGCATTGACAAAGACTTACTTTAAGAAAGCTCATAAAGTAACATATCAAGTTGCGAAATTAAATGTTATATATTACGTTTTTATAATAATTTCTATTCTTACGAGTAATTCAGTGAATGAAATATCACGACATAACTGGGCATAGCGACTAGACAAAAGACATTTGTTCAAAGAAGAAGTATCCGAATCACAATCTGAAATCTGGATCATAAGATAGTTGTGAACTAGTGAGACTTTTGTAATCATAACGTAATGATGTATTCGTAATCTTCCGATGACTAGGGAATTGAATTCCTGCAGTCTCAAAATTTTCATCTTCTGATAATCAACAACTGTTTAGAAACTGAAATATCCTTATTCACACACAACTTAAGCGAAGAAATAGTGTTTTTCGTAGTTCTTAGATTATAAACTGATCTTAGCCAGACCACCACTGAAATCCTTGAAGCACTGGAAGGTCGTTTCATCCTAGTACTGGACTACTCGGCAGTCCATATCCATGTTTACGAATAGTGCAAGCAAGTCTGATCGTTCTAATATCATGCTGTTCAGGTCAAAGGTATTTAGAGACGTGACATATTTGTGGTGTATGTGATAATTATAATAAATGTGATATATATTATATAAACGAGCGGTTCAATTTGAATGTGTATTTGTGGTGTAAAATTTGCTTGACCAACTATCTTATAAGGAAGTAGGGGAGAATTAAATTTGAAAATTCCTACCCACCTTATTTTTGAAAATTATACGTCTGATTGGTTTGATGTGATCCTTCGTTTATCTTGTCACTATGGGATTTAGATCCCCGCCCTTTTATTATTTAGATCTGATTGCTTAAATACGGTATAGCGTAGGCGCTTCTATTGGATGTTGGGAATTGTAATTTTGGATCTAAAACAAGTCAATCGCTGCCGGAATAGCTCAATGACAACGTTTCAGGCTATGAAGCTTGGTGACACCCTAGTGAGTCCACCAGGAAGCACCAGTTACAACAATATTACAAGTATACGTTGCTAAGAGTCCCGAATGGCGTGAAATATACGTCTAGGGTTTCCTGTCGATTAATTCCAACCACCTAAAATTTCAAAAGTGTACGTGATGTTTAGTCTCTTAGATTAATGGCCACTTTGTAACTTGATCGATAAAATTCTATTAGCATTAAAGGACTAGATAAACATTCGTCAGTCGATTGGAACTCATTTGTTCAACGATTTATAAAAATAAGATTTTCAAATAACCAAGTTCTAATTTTTAATAAGTAAAGATGATAAATCATATTAAATTAATGTCTCAAAGAAAACAGAATATTCATTGGGAATCTCTCTAATATACTTACTTACTTACTTACTTACGCCTGTTACCCCTCGTCGATGAGCATAGGCCGCTCACCAGCATTCTCCATCCAACTCTGTCCTGAGCCTTCCTTTCCAGTTGCTATTCATCCTTTTCATATCGACTTCTATTTCCCGGCGTAGTGTGTTCTTTGGCCTTCCTCTTTTCCGCTTCCCTTCCGGATTCCAAGTTAGGGATTGAGTCGTGATGCACATTGGTGATTTCCTTAATGTATGTCCGATCCACTTCCAACGTCTTTTCCTTATTTCCTCTTCAGCTGGAAGCTGGTTTGTCCTCTCCCATAAAACGCTGTTGCTGATAGTATCCGGCCAATGGATGTTGAGTATTTTGCGTAGACAACTGTTTATAAATACTTGTACCTTCCTGATGATGGTCGTAGTAGTTCTCCACGTTTCAGCTCCATACAGTAGGACTGTCTTGACGTTCGTATTAAAGATTCTGACCTTGAAATTGGTTGAGAGTTGTTTTGAGTTCCATATGTTCTGCAATTGTAGAAATGCTGCCCTTGCTTTGCCAATCCTCGCCTTTACATCTGCATCAGATCCTCCTTGTTTATCAACGATGCTCCCCAGGTACTTGAATGTTTCCACCTCTTCCAGAGTTTCGCCATCAAGTGTGATTGGGTCGGTGTTCTCCGTGTTGTATTTGAGAATCTTGCTTTTTCCTTTGTGAATGTGGAGGCCTATCGATGCGGAGGCTGCTGCTACATTTGCTGTCTTCGTCTGCATTTGTTCGTGTGTATGAGAGAGGAGGGCTAGGTCATCTGCGAAGTCCAAATCATCTTATTGATTCTGAGAAGTCCATTGTATTCCGTATTTCCCTTCAGATGTCGAATTCGTCATAATCCAGTCAATCACTAGAAGGAAGAGAAATGGGGAGAGTAGACAGCCTTGTCTGACTCCGGTCCTTACTGGAAATGCATCTGTCAGCTGTCCTCCATGCACCACTTTGCACTGTAATCCATCGTATGAGTTTTGGATAATGTTGACGATCTTCTGAGGAACTCCATAGTGTCGAAGAAGTTTCCACAATGTTTTCCTATCCACGCTGTCAAACGCCTTCTCATAGTCGATGAAGTTGACGTATAGTGATGAGTTCCACTCAACTGATTGTTCAACGATGATCCGTAGTGTCGCAATCTGGTCTGTGAACGACCGATCCTTACGGAATCCAGCCTGATGATCCCTAAGTTCGGCGTCTACTGCGTCTTTCATCCGATTCAGCAGCACTCTGTTGAAAACGTTTCCTGGTACTGATAACAAACTGATGCCTCTGTAGTTCTCACATAGGCTCAGATCTCCTTTCTTTGGTATCTTGATGAGATATCCTTCTTTCCAGTCCGTTGGCACTTGTTCCTCTTCCCAAAGCTTCTTGAATAGAAGGTGAAGCATGTTTGCAGTTATTTCAATGTCTGACTTCAGTGCTTCTGTTGGTATATTGTCAGGTCCTGCCGCCTTCCCACTTTTGATTTGTCTGATGGCCATCTTGACTTCTTCGATCGTTGGTGGAGTGACATCTATTGGAAGGTCTGTGTGGGCTGCTTCGATGTTCGGTGGATTCGATGGGGCTGGTCTATTCAGCAGTTCCTCAAAGTATTCTGCCCATCTTTTCCTCTGTTCCTGAATCTCAGTGATTGTCTTTCCTTCTTTGTCCTTGACTGGTCTCTCTGGTTTGCTATATCTCCCTGCCAATTTCTTCGTTGTATCATATAGTTGTTTCATATTCCCTCCTCTTGCAGCTTTTTCCGCCGCCGTTGCTAGTTCTCTCATGTATTTCTGCTTGTCGGCTTTAATGCTTTTCTTCACTTCTCTGTTTGCTTCTGCGTAGTCTGCTTGTGCTTTGACTTTCTCTGCTCGTGTTCGGCTGTTGTTAATTGCTAGTTTCTTGTTCTTCCTTTCTTGAAGTTTGTCCAGGGTCCCCATAGAGATCCATTCCTTGTGATGGTGCTTCTTAGGACCAAGAACCTCCTGACACGTTGAAGTTAGTGCTTATTTTATCCCTTTCCAGTTGTCCTCCAAAGTAGTTTCTTGTTCTTTCAGTAGATCCTGTAGAGCTTGGAACCTGTTGTTGAGAGTTATCTTGAATTCATGGAGTTTGTCAGTATCTCGAAGGAAGGCTGTATTAAACCTTTGTAGTGCTGTTTGTCCAGTTGTCCAGTGTTTCTTTAGCTTCAGTCTCATCTTGGCCACAACCAGGTGGTGATCTGAAGCTATGTCAGCTCCTCTCCGGGTTCTCACATCTTCCATTGATCTTCGGTATTTTTTGTTGATACAGATGTGATCAATCTGGTTCTCTGTGGTGTGGTCCGGTGAGATCCATGTAGCTGTGTGTATGCGTTTGTGTGGGAATATTGTGCCGCCTATAACCAATTTGTTGAAAGCACATAGGTTTGCAAGTCTCTCCCCATTTTCATTTCTCTCTCCTAGTCCATGTCGTCCAATTACATCTTCATATCCTGTGTTGTCCACTCCAACTTTAGCATTTAGATCTCCCATAAAAATGGTGAGGTCCTTTCGTGAGCACTTTGCTATAATTGATTGCAGCCTTTCATAGAACTGATCTTTATCATCGTCGTTGCTATCATTGTTGGGTGCATAACATTGGATAACATTCATTGTGATCCCTTGCTTCTTTGTTCTGAATGATGCTTTGATTATCCTGGGTCCATGAGATTCCCATCCTACAAGTGCATTTCGTGCTTCTCTGGACAGCATTAGAGCAACTCCCTGAGTGTGTGGCGCATTTTCCCCTTCGTGACCGGAGTACAGCAGCATCTCTCCTGTACCTAGCCTTTGTTGTCCAGTTTGTGTCCAATGGGTTTCGCTGATTCCGAGTACTGCCAAGTTGTATCTCCTCATTTCCATTGCTATTTGGCTGGTCTTTCCTGTTTCCCACATTGTCCGGACGTTCCATGTACCTATAAAGAGTGTTGCTCTGGTTGTTAGAAGGTGCATCGGTCTCGTGACTTCCGAAGAATTTCGGCTTTCATCATGAGACGTCATAATTATTCCTTCAACTCCCAGGGCAGAGTTTAAATGGTTTGGATTATTTTTTCTGATTAGCGT